AAACTGGTGCCGATACGCCTAGGGTGGAGAGTTTAGGGTCTAGGGATTAGGGGCTGTGCAGCGCAGTCCTCTCCAGCATGCGATTCGTGAACTTGTTCTTCCGTATTCGTTGCTCCACCTGAGACATGCGTATGACAACTGAGCCATGCAAAAAAATGAATAAAACGCTAAACCCCAACCAACATCAGCCTCAGGGGACCTTGGGATCTATCGTCATTACGCAGAAACTGTAGGATCCTGATTGAGGATCATGGAGGGACTCTTTGGGGAGACTCCCATATCGCGCCATCCCGGCTCAATCCTCTCTGGGTACCAGGGCTCAAGGGCATCACATGGATGCTCAATGTAGGGGTCGCATTCTGCACCCAGAATGGTTCGGGTTTCTGCCAGAGTGAGGGTTTCCAGACAAGGTCCTATTGGAGTTATATTGGGGTTTTATACCCATCACATTCCGGTAAGGAGACTGCACACAAACAATCCGATTGTGCAAACCACGGCAGAACAGCAGTCGGCCTTGTACGAATGTGAAATGAAATTAATGATATGAAAACGTCGTTTGCGGTAGTGAAGGTGATGATGGGCACAACCACCAAAATGATGACAACCTATCATTGCCATCACACATGCAAAGCCGGCTGCACGTGGAACTACTGGTCATCCAGCAACAACACCTGCACCGATCCGAACCATACTAACGTTACTAATCACAATTCATCACAAGGAGATCATGGCGTGTCACCCTTAAAAAAACTACATAGGGTTGAAGATCTGCATAAAAACAAGGTTCCCCATCTGAATGCCTGGGAATAACATGCCTTCGTAAAGTCGAACAAGAGAAAGAACCCCCCCCAATTAAAACTTTGAAACCCTAAACACCTAGCCCCTCAAACCCTAAAACCCTAACATCCTAAAACCCTCAAACCCTACCAAAACCCTAACATCCTAAAACCCTAACACCCTAAAATCCTAACACACTGCCACAAAGCCCCAAACTCGAAACCCCAGGGTACCTCTGGAGCCAGTAGCTCCTGCATATTCCGGACCTGAGCGACAGGTTTCTGCTAGGGTTAGGGTTTTTAGGGTTTAGGGTTTAGGATTTAGGGCTTTGGGTTTTTTAAGGGTTTAAGGTTTAGGATTTAGGGTTTTGGGGTTTAGGGTTTAGGGTATTACTACTCTCACTACTGTTACAAGTATCACTATTATTACTACTCTTACTACTGTTACTATTATTATTACCATTAATACTATAGTTACTAGTATTACTCTTATTGCTATTAATATTCTTACCACTATTGGTACAGTTATCAATATCCGTACTATTTTCTACTAGTACTACTACTATTACTCTTGTTAATATACTGCTACTGTTACCATTACTATTCCAACCAATCTTGCAATTAGAAGTCACAGCTTAGCGTTTAGGTTCCTGAGCGGTGTTCCCATCAGGGATGCGACATCTGATTTGCTGTTACACCCGACGTTGTGAGTGTTGCTGTCCCCAGCTGGTGTGGTTGCCACACCTGTGCATCTTTGTTGTAAAGTTGCTGATCGTCAGTTACACTATGCAACCACCATCTATTTTGAAGTCCATGCACTGCCAAGATGGGCTTTCGACTTCAATTCGGCGACATCATTAGTTGCAGGTTCATGGGCAGTTGCTGTGTAACCCAACTTATGGTTAGGATAACTTTAAACTTACGTTGGCTACCCTTAACTCTAAACCCTCCCTATGAGGGGATTCATAACCTCTCTGGTTCCCACTGGGTCTTCATTGGGGCCCCTTGCCAAAGCAAGGCCCAAAAACTTCCACACACGTGGTTTTTGCTTGGGCCATGCGCGTCATGGTCTTTCGCGCATTGGCGCAGCATCCGGAAAATGCTTCAGATCTCTGTTGACCCTTACACACGTCGTTTAGGGTTCAGGGTTTAGATCTCTCACCCTTAAGTCCTAGAAACCCAATTCAGCGCCCATAGTTAGGACCCAGGAAACAGGTAAGGACCCATGTTAGGGGCCCATGGTTAGGACCTTAGCTGACTTGAGGTTTCAAAAAGTTCGTTTCCCTAGTCTGGGAATCCTTATAGCAAGGATAATCGTTTTAACCCTACAACCCTAATCCCTAAACCATATGTACATATATATATATATGTATATCCCTACTGTATGTAACCCTCCTGTAACCCGCTTTCGACCCCAAATGAGCTACAGTCAATATCTCCACATAATTTCATGGACATGGGTTCCTAATGAAGAACCAAATCAGGGAACCCGAAACCCTAGAACTACTAAACCCCCAAACCCTAAATCCTAAACCCTAAACCCTATCTAACCCCATTATAGTAGTTTCCAGTTTCTTTTCCACTATCCCTATGTAACCCCTATATACCCCTATATAAACCCTACGTAACCCCTGTATAACCCCTATATAACCCCTATATGACCCCTATATAAACCCCTATATAACCCTCAAACCTAAACCCT